CGCACCCCCCCCCCCCCGCCCCCCGCCGCCGCTGCCCTCTTCAAAGCCTCCACCTCCGGCCCCGGAGCCCAACTCTGGCAGGGTGGAGTCGTCAAGCTTATGGGTTTGGTTGAATTTGTTCAAAACGTGTCGCAGTGCAAACATATTATCTACATCCTTCTGAAAGTTTGCCCAGTCGTCTGGGCCGGGGCTGTAGTCGGGCCTACAATCATAAAGGCTTTCGTTGATGCTGTACATGTCCTCCAGTCCCTGCCAGTTCACCTCCTCGTCCGTCAAGTTCGGGAGCTTAACCCTGTCGTCCGTCCCATACTGGCTGTGTGCTGTCGAGAAGATGAAAATAAAAAGGAATTGTGAGGATGTGGAAAAAGACAGAGGCCGTGTTTTCTGTTGACTGACAGCATGCCTCATTCTAAAGCAGAGATCTGCATGAGGCGCACACACGCACGCACGCACGCACACACACACACACACACACACACACACACACACACATTGAGGTGCAATGTTTAACATAACCTCAAAGCTCAAGCCACAAGAATTGCAAACACATGCTGGCTCAGAAATTAATATATAAAGTTGCATCATAAAGTCCAATCTGCACAGGAAATATAAACAGGTGCAGTTAATGATGCCAAGTCAGCAAACCTGAAATGCAACCAAAGGGGGAGGAGAAAAAGATAGATCAACAAAACAAAATGCAGAGGAGCAAAAAAAAAAAGAAAAAAAGAAGAAGAAAATAGATCGCTGATGAATGGTTCCCAGATTTGCAGAATTAAATCAAAAATAAATTTGAAGAACTTAATCAGGAAATAATGAAAATAAAATGAGAACTTCTTTAGCAAAAAAGAAGGGTCTTTGGCTGAATATGATTTCTGCAGAAATTAAAGAAGAATGACACAATGTGCCACCTGGGTCAGCTCCCCATGTGAGGTCTGCACTGCTGCAACTAATAGGATGGAAGGGGTTGGACATAAAGCTGAGGGACTCACAGAAATAAGAGGCTTGGTCTCCTCTTTGACCACTTTCGGTGCTGCTGTTGCCTGGTTGGCAGGTGTCAGAAACAGAGGTCAAATGTCAGTGGGTAGACAGAGAGGTCGCAGCTACATAGGTGCCCATTCGACCACTAGATGAGAAAGTGGCAGAATGGACAGCACTCTAGTGGGGTAGGGGGACTATTCTAAATGACAGGTCAACACTGGAGGACTGATGTGATGATGTCAACATTGGCTTGGAGGGTGATGTTAAAGAAGCCGTTCAACATGATGGAATAAATGAAATATTTCCAACAGAGCAAATAATCATGTCTACATGAAAATGTTAAAATGCTCCTTTATTATCCTGTGTCAAATGTAGATGCATGAGTGGATGATATAGGATCATGCATTGGCATTCACGTGCACTCCAGGCCTTGGCTGGGCTTGTGTTCAGCAACGTCTACTACAATCTCAGTGTTTTCTGTGTTCAGCCATGCTGCAGTGAAGCACGCATCCTAAAAGACCGGGGTGAAACCCACAGATTGGTCAAGGTCATATTTTTATTGGTGCTGCCAAATATGCAGTTTCTCAGCAGTTTACTGAACGTATGACAATATCTCATCTGCTGACCCATGAAATTTGAATATTGAATTGAAATAGGGGAAAAGGAAAATCACACAAAAAGCTAAAAGAAATGGCAAAACCTTTTTTTATTTTAAAATATTAAAGTCATGTTTTTCTTGAAAACCCATAGTACTTTTTTCAAGTATTGCATTTTTAAGAATTTCAACTTAGTTGGTTGTGTCTGTCAGCAGTACAAAACCGTGGATTATTATTTATTAAGATTTCAAAGTCACAATAAAACAGATTTTGGACCAAACACTCGCTTTACTCAGTAAAATTAGTGGTGTCTGGTTGATCATGTGTTAAATGTAAATTCATCTGGGATTTTAGTCTATAAAACAAAGCTAGTGCAAAAGGTTGGGGAAAAAACTGCATAAAGAAAATGAATCAATTCAATTGAAGCATTCTGAAGCAAAGGTTGTAAAGATACAAAGCACAGAATAACCGCAGTAATGACAGGTAGAAAAGTGCATAAAGGCGCAAGCAGGTTGTGCGCACAGACATGACAACAAATGAAGCTGCTTCCATGAAAAATCAAAGGGCGAAATTATACAAAACCAGATCTTTGATTTGTAAGCGTGTCCCCAGCATGCAGCCACAGATCAGATCAAGTGCTGAAACTCCATCGATGCATATTATTAGTGAGAATGAGGCAATTGGAGCCATGCATGATGTTAAAGAACAAAAAAATAAATAAAAAGCCACTGAAGATAAATAAAATTGGATGGATACCTGTGTGGCTCATAGCTTCCTCCATCTTTACCTCCTGATCGGAAAAATAGAAGCAATCGTTTGTTAATGCTTTGATTCAGGGAGAATTGGGAGGGTAAATATATAAATACTTAAGAAAAAGATCATTCACACTGAAGATTCTTTCATGCACGGCTGCTACTTCCTATGGAAAAATGCAATCATTAGCTGATGACAAGGAGGTGTGAGGAGTACAGAGGTTTGGACTGAACTGGCGTAACAACACAGGGAGGAAAAAGTTTGGGAAGTCATGTGAGGAGCAGTCAGAGAGGGAGTGAGAGAGAGAGAGAGAGCATGTCAGTGAGTGAGAGAGAGAGAGAGAGTCAAGTGGTTTTTGAGGTGACGAGTTCAACTGGGATTCCCCTTCAAAGCAAAATACACAAAGTTATGTCGTCAGGTGATAATGATGGTTTAGGTCACAGTCCTCAAATAGATGCAGCTGAAACTGCCAGGTTGCCACATGGTAGACATCTAATAATCTCTTACGCCAACAAAAACATCACTTCATGTAACCACAACAGCAATTTCACTGGTTCATGGAGCTGGCACTGAAATGAGCCAAGGCGGCCAGAGCGGGTGAGACATTTTCGGCAGCTACGTGACATGTTGGCACGCTGCACTTGTCTGGACTGTGCCAGCACTGTAACACAATCGGTTTTCTCAGTGCTGCTTGGCCGCCCCCGAGCTCCACTCTGCAGCGGGTAATTACAGACATGAAGTTTTTTTTTAATCCTCACAACATAAACAACGCAGCCGGTTCATGCCACACACGATCACCACAGCTCAGCTTAACCCAGAGTTCAGGTCATCACATGACTTATTAACAAGCTCAGATAGGATAACTGGACCGTGCAACACTGGGAAAGTAAATCATGTGGCTGATCGTGGCAGTAGTGCATGTCAGTGGAATAAAATGACAACCTTAACTGCAGTGATGACAGTATTCTCCAAATAACGTCTTAAACCCTAAATGAGTCATAAATGGGGAAAGTCTTCAGGACACACAACTGTAAGGTTACCGTGGTAACATGTGAGGGAGTGAGAAACGTGAAGGGAGGTTCTCCAGTGTGGTGTGAGTCAGCAGGCCCAGGACTGAGTGGAAGCAAGGGTCAGAGAGTGTGTGTGTTATATATGTGTATGTGTCTTCATGACAAGAACAGTGGAACAGAACATTGGAATGAGTGATGGTTCCTACACCTCCACCTGAAATCCCCTGAAAACACATGCAGCATGCAGATATGTGCAAACACACAAACACCACTGTGACTGAGACTGGTTCTAAACACAGCAGAGGATAAAGAGGCTAAAACATACATTAGTTTCAACTACAATATTTCAAAAAGTCGTTTTTCCTGGACTGATGACCTGAGGAGGCACCGTGAGGAAGATTTTGGTTTAGGAGTGGTTGTTATTCATGTTGCTTTTTTTTTGGTAAAAGTGAATTCAGTTTATATTTCTTATATTCCAGGATGCAACTTTAGTAGAAATATAAATATGTAAGAGATAAAAAAACTTTTGTTCTCGGTCATAAAGTGTCTTAACTATAACTTTCTCATTACTCAAACTTTTTATTCTACTGGCAAATTAAACGTTTACTTGACTTAGACCAACAATTTCTAAACTTAGTTACTTAATTCCTTTCTGCTTAGAATCTGTTTCAGTCACTGCTGGTGTTCAACTATAACTATATCAAATGCATTCATCCACGGGTGCAAACATGTCATCATTACTTTGAAGAAGGTCGGGACAATAAAATGATAAAGAAAGAATAAAGAGTGAGTTGTTTTTTTTTACCTGACTCCAGGCCTTTGGGCCGAGGGTTGCACTGCTTATAACCTTGGCAACTCCTCATCTCCATGAGCTGAGCGTGTAGGGCGTTGAGAACTTCCCGATCCACTGAGTAAACGGCATTGGTCAGCTGCAAATACGGCACACAAACCCTGATACAGTCACTGAACGTTGGCAGAATAAAATTACAGTAAAAACATTTTGAAAGCACTAATGAGACATGTCTAGGTTTTATGAAAACGGGAGCCAATGAAAACAACACGGGACTTGCAGAGATGCAGAGCAGACAAACAGTTGAGTCACGGCAGACACACCGTGTGTTTCCCTACCTGGTACGGGTCACTGTTGAGGTCAAAGTACTCCAGAAAGCCGGTTGAAAACTCACAGAACAGTGTGTTGTGGGTCTCATTGATGGTTCTCAAGCACCAGTAGGTGTTGTTGTTGGAGCTGGTGCATGCGCAGAATCCACCCACTGAAGAGAGAAGAATTTGTCAGTCTGTTCGTAACTGGGAGTCTCTGAGTAACAGGTCAAAAACTGGTGCCACACATTATATCTGGATGTCCTTGTGGCTTTAAAGGCATAGTCATGCCGGTGATGCCTTCTCTTTCATAGCAAAAACATTGGAGTTGCACTAAAAACATAGTCTGCAGCCGTGACCTGCCTTTTTAAAATATTAAAACTAATTCATAAATATGATACACACAACAGACACATTCATGCACAAACACTTGTGTAGAATTTATGGATGTGAAAGTTTGAATTTAAATTAATTTTTAATTTAATTTTTTTATTTAATTGTCCCAGGTTTCCGACTGTGTGCGTGTGTGTCTGTGAGTGTGTGTTAATAATCAAAGCTTGTGATGTGTAAGACAGAAGTTGAGTGAAACATTTGTACGCTGCTCTGTCACCGTGTTCTGTGTAATTAAACACAGACTTTGCTGCTTTAATCCACCAATAAGTGGTGTCTTTTATGTGACAGTATTAGGAGCGTCACTTTTCTTTCAATGAATACGTACATGACCAGAAGGGGGGGGTCTGCCAGTGATCGTTGTTGTGTGTGAAGCAGGTGAGTCCAGGCAGACTGCAGTCATCTCCTTTCCTCAGCCTCTTCTTCTCCTTTCTCTCCTTCTTCCGTCTGCGGATCTCGTTGTACAACTGGGTTTTCCCGTCTATTTCCTGTGCCGCCTCCCTGCAGAACAGATATTACGAGACAATTACAGATTGGCGGGATGCAAAAATGACATCAGCCCCTGCTCTTTGTTAATCCAAAAAAGTCCAGGATTTTGAGGGGAATTCCAAATAGGGATCACCCATTCCAGGATATGACAGTCTGTTTACTTTCATGTTTAATCCCTCACTAGGTCCAATTTTCTCTCAGATGACATTATAGCCACTGTGCGAAAACAAAACACGTTGAAGGAAAGAAGAAAAAGAAAAAAACCCAGCTGCTTTGTATTGGTTTAATCAGTTTCCAATGTTTCCCAGTGCAAGTTGATCACTGTGTTTGAGGGACTGACTGATTCCCCCTCTGTTGAGTCACTCTATCTTTCCATGCTACTCAATCACTTCCAGACACATTTGCACAGACATTGCAAGCACACACAGAGTCCATTCATGGACTCTGACACGGCTCCTTCAGGAACCTGTTTGTGTTTTAAGCTCACAAACATTGACACATCAAAGCAAACGCAGGCACAGTGCGCACATGTACACACTGGTCATCTGGAATCTTTAGTGAGGAAATCACATGTTCAAACCTGACATGCACAGACTGCGCAGATGGCCAACATCAGGAAACACAGCACGGAGAGTTTTGGTAAACGTTTAGGGTCAGTGTGGATTTATACAGAGAAAGTTTACATTGAATGGGAGCAAAAATTCCAGTTAAATGATAAGAGAAACTCACTTAAATGGATGGAGCTGATCATTTCTGTTCTTCAGTCTGTCAGCCTTGTTTCTGTCTCCTTTTACAAAATAGCTGGGTTAAAATAGAGACAAACAGTGAGGATGGTGGGTGAGAATATTGTATTTGTACCGCTTAGAAATAAACAGCCCTAAGATAAAAAATAATACAATTAACACACTGTAAAAATGCCTGAATTAGGAGGTGAAAATGTTAAGGACAAACCTTTTCTTCCCACAGTCACACTCGTCTGGTCGTGTCCTCTTCAGGTGTCCTCTCACTTCGCGGAGATGTTTGATTTTGTCTTGAAGTGCTTCAATCTGGAAACAAAACCTTTTAGTCTAGCACGAGTCATTCAGACTCAAGGGCTAAAAAATTGACAACTGGATGACATCAAGGACTCTACTGCCTCATTGTCAAAATGAGTCAAAACAGAAGGAAAACAATAGATCACATTGACTAATGACTAGACCTACCTCCTGGTCTATGTAGCTCTTGTGGTCTTTCCAGGCTCTGGATGACTGGTAGACTTCTCTTTCACAGTGGACACTGTCATTCATCAAAATAAAACACCTGGAACAATTGCGGAACCAAAACTGTTAGACACAAAACATCAGCACTTACACATTCAGTAGAAGTTGTGATTATTTTAGATTTTCTTTTTTTTTTTACTTGTGGGTCACTTTGACAGAGTTCGGGTAGCCCACTGCATTGGTATCATCGGCCAACATTTCCTCAGAACCATCGCCTGTCTCTAGGCCAAGTGCTGTTTCTTCTTGGTTGTAATGACGTTTAGAGATACGTCTGACAGCTGATTGGTCATCTGCTTGGAGATCAATGTTGTATATTTGACCTTCAAATTCCACAGACAAAGACCTGGTGGGTCGCGTGTGGACAAAGCGTGGGCGAAAACCTGTAGTTGAATAATGAGTAAAAAAAATTAAAAAATTTAACGCAACTTACCATCATTTTGGGGACTTTGATTGATTCAGTTGTTTATCAATAATTCCAGGGGAATTCAGTACATTTACTGTTTTGGTGTGTGACTTTCAAACTCCACTAGAGGGCGTCAAAGCTCAATACCAGCACAGAAACACCAGGTATAACCCATTTAATGAAATTAATGGTCTGATTGTTGTTACAATGATTTTTTTGATCTTCCTGTGTATAAATACATCAGTCAAAAACACTAAAACAATTACAGACTGGGATGATGAAAGTAATTCATAGTTAAAGAAAATAAATTGATGTCTGTGATTTGTGTCATTTGGCAAATACTCAGATTCTCCACCAAAACAATCATTTGCACTGCATTTCTTTCACACAATATTTGATTAAAGACACTGATTTCTTCACATGTACTTACGTTGACCAGATGAGGAAGAGAACGGACGGTGGGTGCGGCGTTCAGACCTGGAGGTTTTAAAGAGAGAATCCCCACAGTCGCAGCTTCTGTCTCTGTTGTCATAACTGCTGCGGGGCCTCAGGCTGCGAACTTTTTTCCTGGAGCCCTCTTTCAAACCACCTTTACACTTCTGTATCCTCCACTTCCCAGGGATCTCCTCCACACAGTGCCATTTCTGTAATCACAAAGGAAATTACAAATTAATAAGTAGTGGCTGTTGTGGGGGTGTGGGGGGTTAACTCAGTGAAAATGATACTGACACACTTCATAAAACCTGTTGACAAAATGAAAACTGTGATTCTAGCTTTTGCAGCCAAGCTTCTGGTTTTGTAGGGATTTCAAAGAAGAAGAAGAAAAAACTCCTTGGGAAAATTAACAGACATATCAGGGAAATGTGAGTGTGTGGGAAAGAATGCCATCCAAGTAAAGCAGGAAAAGATAAACTGAAAATGACCACATGAGATAGAATGGGTCTGTCTGGTGTCTAGAAAACAAAGTGAAAATCCCTATCACTCTCACACGGAGCGTGACTGTGCCAAATGCGTCACGAGTGAAATTGAGTAAATACATATTCACGCTCTCGCCTACATCCTCTGTCTTTCTAAACACTCGTTCCCAGTAGGAAAGGAAAGTTGAGGCTAATTGCTGAGAGCACAGTCCCGGGTTACGTCTTGTCTAAATGAAAGAGACACATCTGCAGTGTGCAACAGATGATCAGCGTTGAATGTGGGAACGAGGGCTTTTATATATATATTAAAAAAAAAAAAGCTCATGTAATGACTTAAGAGCTTAAGTCCCTTCTCTTTTTTTTTCTTTTTAACCTCCTGTGAGTGTTTGGAGCCACAACAGTATCAGTGCAGCTGAGAGACAAAGATGGATGACAAACTCCGGAGGAGAAGCGTTTTGCTGGGAGCAGTGGTGAATAACCATGCATGATGAAACATGAGCAGAATTGAATGACCCCCCCCCACCCCCCGAGAAACACAAGCCAGTCACGTTAGTTGGAGGAAAGGGGGGGGGAGGGGGGGTGAGGGGGTGGGTGTGTGTGGGTGTCCTAAACAATAACAGCAACAAAATTACAAAGCAAAGCCAGCGGGCCTGGTCTGAACAAAGTGAACCCTGTAGACGTATTTAAAAGACACTGACTTTTCAATAACCCAAGTTCATGTCTCTGTTTTCCTAAGTAGCCGGGAGGTGTGATGACATTCAGAGGCAGAAAATATACAGTCGATGGAATATACTATAATAGTGTGAATGACTGCAGTTAAAAAACAGAGCACTTGTGTGAGCGCCTGTTTCCCCTGTAATTGTGCAAGAAACGCTCCACTGTCTTTAAGGCTACTCACTGGGTGGTCGCGTCAAATGGAAGCAAAAGGGCCGTTTCTGACAATGTCTTACCTTTGTGCGCTGTGCAATATTTAGTATAATGAATACAGTAGAATGGAGATTTGATGGCATGTCAGAAATCAGTGTTTACCAATTCCGACCGCTCCCTTTATATCTGGTTTGTTATTATAGCTGGACTACACACTGTTGACGTTTACGTGATGTAGTTGCAACACACACACACACACATAAACAAATACCAATCCCTTCAAATATAATTGTCAGGTGCATCAAGATGAAAATCAGACACGTAGAGGCTTTGTTTTCATGTGGTGGCAAACTATGGTAAGTCAACCTGTGGTGGATGATCTTTTTGCTCCTACTTTAAATAAAATGAATCACCAAAGTGAAGTTTGTTAGCTCATTGTAAATTGAAATCCCAACTCTGGTGGCAGGTCAAAATTGCACCAAAAAGGAAAAAGATAATTAATTCACACAATTTAGACTTTTCTGCTGCTGAGCTCCAGTAAAATAGTCTCATGGCTGTCTTTAATAACTGACACAACTGACTGTTGCCAACAGGCTCTAATGTGACCATAAAAGGATCTGGTTTTCATTTCATGGCTGTGCAGAAGGTCTGCTATCTTTTTACGCTACCTGAAAAATTTGTATTGTTCTGGTCTGTCTAGTCCAAGGCCCAGCACTGTACCACTAGGATGTTGGTCTGACAGAAAATGAATGTGTGCAGATGAAAGTACTGGGCAAAGGGTACCAACTATTTGCTAAATTACAGAACGTGCTAATACGGCAGATTATGAAGTGACTGATCTACTGTAAAGGAGTGTTTCAGCAGCAGCAGCAGCAGCAGCAGCAGCAGCACATAGGTTGCTTCAAGAATAGTACTTGTCACCATTAGGGAAAATTTGACAATATTTTTCCACACTCGAACAGAAGTTATTTCTGTTCACCGAGGTTTTGCAGAAATATAAGTTCTCTTGTGTTCACATTAGTGCGTTTGTTTTTACCTGCCCAGGCTGTTCACAGGGCGTCTGGAACTCGGCCTGTTGGCACGTCTCTTTGACCTTCTTGTACTTGGGCAGACTATTGGTGTGCTGAGTGTTCACTGAGTCATCTATCTTCCTCAGGATCTTTCTGCGTGACAGAAAAAGAAAGAAACAGGATGTCATCATCCATGAACACTCCCATTTAGGCAGTCAATAAGCAATTTGACTATTAAAAGTAGCATTGACCAAAAACTAACTGAACAGAAGTTTTTCTTAATTCAGAATGTTTGTTGTTCCATACTGTCTCAGCCAATGAATGATGGGTAAAGTGGCATCTGTTTATGCCAGAGAGCCTGGGCATGGACTACTGCCCCAGGCTGTTTGACCTCAGCCTGGCACGGCCAGACTTCTTTCTATTTTGCCACTGAAGGGACTTGGCCAACTCTCTCCTCACAACATGCCAAACCCCTTATCCCTTACTATATCCCCCAGGTCTCTGCCAACTTGGTCTGGCCATTTGTGACCCACAGAGAAAATGACAACGACAACACAGCAAAGAACAAGCTGTTGCCTTTCAAGAGTGGAGCTGTTGTTTCCAAAATCCTGTCTGTCACACAGTTTCAGGGCTTTTCGGCCAATGTTCACACACTGGCTGGGCTGTAGTCCCTTGCCTTTAGTCACGGGTTATTAAAGAGGTAACAGTTGTTGTCGGTGCGGGTCCCTGACGGCTGTGTTACGTGGATGATTAGATTCTCAAATAACACTGTCTGTCCCAGCTGTATTTCAGGTTTTCACGTGCTCAGAAATAGAGTTTACTGGAAGGTCATGTGAGGATTTTAAATAAGAGAATATTTCATGTAAACATAAAATATATACATTTATTGTATCTATTGTATCTTTTCTGCTACATGTGATAGAAGAACAGTGAAAGGCACTTAGAGGCTTATCTGAGTATTAAGAAGAAAGACTACAGACAGACAGTGTGGATTAGAGGCAGAATGGATTAAATTAGCTAATAGTGAAACAGTTCAAAGTTCAGGGTTTTTATTTTTTTCATTTTATACACAGGGGTCCATGGATCAGCTGCTTCTTCTGTCACATAACCATATGCCACTGGGACTCATTTCCCCTGTGCGGCAGCAGCCTTGACCTGCTCATTACTTCTGTACTTGTGTCTGGAGATGTTGACGCAGATGCTGGCTGAAGAGCAAGTAAATGGAAAGGAGACGTGAAGGGCCAACACAGTGATTTGGAAAAAAATAGGGATTATTGTGAATAAATGATAGTCGAGGAAAAAAGCAGCTGTACGCACGGTCATGACTTACTGTACCATACAGTATCATTACATATGCTTGTAGCTGAATCTGGTCTTGACCAACAATGGTATAATAATGTCTCATCTGTCATCTTTCCACAAACGTCTTTCTGCTTTCTAATTTCATATAATTTTAACCAATGCCTTTCTTTGGATACCTGTATCACGCAAAAAAAAAGAGCTTGAGGGGGTTAATTCTCTCTTGTCAGATTGCTGTCAGCGTATCTCCAACATTAGCTTATCTTAGCAGGCTGTCAGATTTGGGCTATCACTTTCCGCAACATAGCAAGAAAGCAAAAAAGAACAACTCACCAGATTTGTTAAAAAGACAGACAAGGTGTACTACTGCGTGCACAACAAGTAAAAACATTGGGGAATGATGTTGCCATTAGTGAAGCAGCACTTTGGTGAATGATGTTGCCATTAGTGAAGCAGCAGTGTGGCGAATACATTCCACACTAAGGCCTGGGAACATGTCTGTGAGTAGACTAAAGTGTGAGACCATCCAACCGTACATGAGGAAACATCATCCTGAGCCTGGCATGCCTTTGTTTATTTTGTGTGTGTCTTCCTCCGTTGTGTTACTGAAAATAATCTTTCGTCTGTCTCCAACAGGATGCTGAGTCAGATTCACGGCTCTCATTACCTGCTAAATCTACGCAGTGCTCATTCAAAAAAAAAAAAAATTCAAGTTTTTCCAGTAAATGAGAAAATGACACACGTTACACGTGTCAGCAGCTCCTGCCACAATTTGCCAAAATTTAAAGCCTCACCAAACAATATTCCAACCTCCTGCAATCACACTGGCTTCCAAACCAGTTTCCTGAGGTCAAGGAATGTCTGCCAGATAAAAATAATTGGGAAAAGCATCTGTGTTGCTAGAAGAGGTAATATTTCAGGTTCATTGAAATATTTTTTGTGACACACAATGCTCTGAAACAACATGAACATGCCTGTGGCTTAAAAATAATAATTAAAAAGTGCAGTTTACCCTCGTTCCACAAGGAATGTGTCTCTCCAGACTTTGGGTTTCCGGTTGGGTTTGAATCTGGAAAATAAAATGCATTAGGTTTTCAAAAGAAAATACGTTTTATGTGTATTTACTGTTAGAAACACATATAAGACCTGATACAGGACAAATATAAGCCTAGTGTAGCATCGACAGTTTGGCTTTTTTCTGTTTCACTGGATTTGCGTGCATTCAGGACACGGCTTCAACTTAACATTTGCTGGAGAGTTGATGAAGGTTCAACATGCGAACAGTATTCATTAACTGTAACTCAGTGATTCCCAGCCAAAGTCCTCTAGCCAAGTAAGTTATGCCAAATTGCCCAGAGACCATATTGAATTAAAGCGGAATACAGCATAGAATGCAGCATGGTTTAAAGGATTCATCCAGACCTGTTGCCTGTTCGTTCCTGTTCCAGCAGTTTAAGAATTGACTTTCCATCCATGTCTGGAGGGGTGTCTAAACCGGCGATGTGCAGAATCGTAGGAGCGAGGTCAATGTTCAGCACTAGATGAGGGTTTCTGGAAATGGGAATGCAAGATTAAGTTAATGTTTTTCTTTTAATTTAAGTTCACAAAATGCAGAGAAAGAAAAGCCAAGAAATAAAAAGGTGTGGTTTTCAGGTGTTTATTGTACTTACACTGCCCCTGGCTCCACATTGGGTCCTCTCAGGAAGAATGGAACTCGAATATCAAAGTCGTAAGGCATGGACTTTCCCTTCACCAATCCAAACTGGCCAATGTGGTAACCGTGGTCTGCTGTGTAAATAATGTAGGTGTTGTCGAGCTCCCCAGTTTCCTCCAACATATCATACACCTGGGTAGAAAGAACAGGAATATAATAAAATGATTCTGAGAAATTATTATTTTTAAATCATTATTCAATAATGTGCCTGACACTACTGGTTTACCAATGTTACCAAAGTTCATGTTGTCTAAACTAAACTAACTAACTAACTAACTAAAGAGAGGCTGGTAATACTGCCTTTAGTCTGGAAGAACAAATGTTGTCTTTTAAATTCTCTTTGCAACCCTCACATGCAGCAACTGTGTTGGAAAAAGGTTAACGTTTAGCTCAAGATCTTTGTCGTAGATCAAGTTGGTTTAAAACATTACTAGAGAACAGCAACAGGTACTCACCTTCTGCACTGAGTCATCAACAGACATTAGTGTCTGCAGCCTTTTCCGATGGAGAAAGTTGGTGAACTCCATGTGGATGGGTTTCATGGGGCCGGTGTACTGCATGATCCAGTGTTTGTCCATGTTTGGGGCATAGTTGTAGCTGGGGGTACTGCAGAAGCACAAAGGGACACAAAATGATGGAAAAATGTTACAAATAATGTACGTGTTTTTGTTGATAAAAGTAAACATGTTTTTCACTTGTCACAGAGTAAAAATCTTTTTACCCTCTGTCTGCACTCCAGCGACCTGAGCCTGTAACAGCTACCAGGCTCCCAGTGACACCTGTCTACCACTTTTCACAAGCTACTGCTCTGTAACAGGTGCCACGCTTGTCCACTGCCACTGACACGCATCAATAGCTACACTGTTTGTCCAAGGAAATATCCTATAATAATACTCAGCAGCCAGCACCTTCGCTGTTTTTCCACACCTCTCTCCCCAAACCATCTCTCTTCTCGCACAGAGACGAGAGGCTCCTCGCTCCACTGCGCTCTTGGCACGGGAAAGTCATTTGAGGGTTGGCACATGCTTAACAAAATAATAGGCCCAAAAGTCATGTTTGCAACAGCTCCTGGACCAAAACCCCAATAAGTCACGGTCATTTCAAATGAGGGAATAACAAGAGCAAGAAACAGCATAGAGGTCGCCTTATTTACGGAGTAAAGGCTGAGAGAAACCATTCAGTCATTTGTGGTATTTTTCTTTAAATTAAGGGAAAGGGTGCACTAAAGGTTTACTGCGTGATTTCTTTTTTTTTTTTAAGAAAACTTTACAATTTAAGTAAACTTTGTAGATAAATATGCATTATTTATTATTGTAAAGCCACAGTGTCTTTTTTCTTTTTACATATTTAGATTAACTTTACTGTGAACTCTTCATTAAATTAGGCACATGTCACTCTGAGGTCAGCTGTATTAGATTGTATTAGTTATAGTTTGACCCAGGTTCAGACCCACTCTTCTTCCTCCTGACCTTAGAAAACTTAACATTGACATATATTCAGCTGGTTGATCTACAGCCAGTTTAACTACGATTTCACTCCAAGCAAGAGACTTTAAGAAAGTGCAACAATTCTATAGTATTTAAAATAATGAGGGGGTGGCTCGCACGTGACACGCAGAGTGAAGAACACCTACACTATGGAATGCTAATGACATTAACATCAAACCTTCCCCTGCCATTGTTGCTGTCAAAGCTTCTGATTTATGACGCGGCTCCTTCTCCTCCTGCCACGCACTCCCTCTTCCACAGCCTGCCTCTTACATTTTAACTGAATATAAAATCAGCTGCAATGATAAAAACAAAGTCTGATCAAATAAAATCACCATCACGTGTTTACATAATGGTCCTACTCTGTGCACGCTATTGAGAAAATATTATCGTACATATTAAAGAATTTGTTCCCCACCCCCGCCTGTGGGAAAATATTTTTCTCATGGAAACAAGTTACTGCTAAATACCTGCGCTACTGCAGTAATCACTCCACATATTCCGCACACACTGCAACAACAATATCACTGGGTCAACCCTTTCACTCAGCCCCCGGCCCAAGCTCCACCCCCCTTACCCAGGGGCTAGGGGGTAAAAATAGATTAATAATGTCACAAAGGGTGTTCTAAAGCACACAATGCATTCTTCTCATCCTAGGAGCTGCAGAGAAAAATAACTGATTGATATGGACAGGGTCAGGAAGTCCCTTTGCAAAATACACCAGAAAGGGAGGGCGAAACTGGATGAAAACAACAAGAGCAGACACCGAGAGACACAACTGGAAAGATAAAGAGACACAGATCCACAGATAGAGTGACAGGCCCAGGGCAAACAGACACAGGGGAATGTTAAGTGGGATAGAAAGTGAAGGAACACTGAACACTAAGAAAACGGAGTTAGAAACGGAAACACTCGCCCGATTTCCAACCTTGAACCCTGTGACTTGTGAACCTGGTGTAGTAATGCATCCTGGTAGCCGACGTTAAGTGGCCTACCCAAGGTTGGCAGGGCATGTTGCCAAAGAATGTCCTCCGCTGCTGCCACAACTCAGTGATGAGAGTAGTGGGAGGTAAGTATAAGCTTGGCAAGGGCTTTAAAGAAGTCACTGCTGATATTCTCCATGGTGTGCGCCTCAGCTATTCTTAGATGATAAATCATTTTGATTACACACTCGCTGAGTTGTCAGCAGGTTTTCTTCAGCAACTTGTCATCACTCATCAAAGAATGTGCACACTCTAATAATATTAGGAAAACCAAATCATTAAAATGCTAATTTAATGTTAACAAGGAGAAATTCCATATGCTGCTAGATGAAAGCTGCGTTGCAACCACAAAGCCATCATATATAATCAGTGGATATTGAATATGATTGGGTTTTTTTTTCTTTTTCTTTTTTTACTTTTCCACAGGTTTTAAGTACCAAGAACTCTGTGTGTTAGTGCGTGTTAGGGCTGTCACATTTACCAAAAATCAAGTTTGAACAACTACTACAGTACATGACAACATTAACTTAAAAAGTAATTTGGAGATTAACTGCATCACATGTCTGTCAAAAACACATCAAATTCAAAGTTCTCTGACGGTTAAATCTTAGTCACTGGTCAGGAAAGTACTTTTTTTCTCTCTGGTCAGATAACTGCTGAAGAGATGAGCAGTGATACAAGAGCATCCTAGTTCCTTGTGCCCAGAACCAGAGCTATTATTAGATCAAGAGAGACACTACACAGTGGAAAGTGGAATACTTTAGGTTTAGTAATGGTCTAGAACGTCGTCAGATGATTCTGTGATCTATTTGTCTGCCAAGGAAAATTGTACTTCACCATGAGCAGCAAACAACATCTCAGCTTCTGCTCCTGGATCTGATGAAATTCCAAGATGAAGTACGTGAGCAACGTGCACAGACAAAGCTGCATGTTGGGAGTTTCTATAAAATCCCTCTGTCTAACCCTCACACACACTTCAGGGTCACATATATCCAGCCAGATGCACTGGTACATTTACCTGCTGATTCTTCGATTTTCATGCGTACCTTGTTTACCTGGGGCTTGAACAAAGCTTAGCCATGAAGTCTTGGTCCCTAACTCCCCCAACATGTTATGAACTTGTCAGAGGTCACCAAGTTCATCACAAGGATAGCTGCTTGTACTTTTGTTCCTTTTCAAACTTCTCCTGTGCAAGAAGAGACAGATTCACAGCAGCCATGGGACTTACATATGCTGAGAAGCATTTGGGAAGAACTCAGAATACTGAGGTGCAGAGTCTTCTGGACCATGAGGAGCAGCGTGACTGATGACCATCATCACAGGGCGGTGAGGATACATCTTCTTAGACACGCGGAAAAAGTTGATGCTGTCATTGGTGATCAGATCTGTGAAATAGTCCTAGGGAAAAAAAAAAACACAGCACAGCCAATATCGTAAATAAGCACCACAGGGCTGAACTGACATATAGAGGAGACTTGAAATGAAGGAGAAATAAAAAACAACACCAGCTTTGATAAAACTGGTTCGCAGACCAATCACCATGACATGTTGTTTTCCTTAGTCCAGTCATGTTCAAATAAATGGAGCCAGGCCAGTGGGGATATAAACTGGGGCCATTGAGTGCACTACACTACCAATCTGTCCAGTCAACAGCTGGCAGCCGGCCGGTGTGTGTGCGTGTGTGTGTGGATGAGAGCGTGTGCATGCTGAAGCCTGTGCGTGTATACAGTACATGGGCTGTTGCTTCATCAATGGATCCCTGCACTACTGAATGTGTCACCATTTGAGGGCGAGAAACCTGGAGTTCTCACATGGGGTGTTGTTATGACAGCTTTGACGACGCCTTCTCAGAAACATCCTTTCCTCTTGAAATATTTGGCCTTGGTTTGATGCATCAATATTCTCTATTCTCTAGTCTTGCCTTGATTAATTCTTTACACATTGACTCAAAGAAACAAGAAGGTAAAATCAAACGGAATGCAAAAATCTCAAATGTAATCAGATGCTGGCATTTATGGTGGGTATAAAAAAAATGTTCCTGGGAGAGTATTCTAAGACAAAACTAAACGAACAAATCTGTAATACATATAGATTTAAACTTTGGATTTTTTTATATATTGGCAGCCCTTTTTTGACATGCTGAAATGATCTGTTCGTTAACTGAACAGTGACTTTATTACTTAAACACAAATTAAAATAACAACTGCCAAGTTTCCAGCTGTGAGTTAACCATTCTACCTGGAGCTCTGGCATGACTCTTTTGTTGCCTGGCATACAGTAAGCAAAAGGGAGTGCCAGGTTAGGAATAAAAGAGTAAAGGGTGATTTCCATGAAATGTCAGATGTGGGTTTGGCCGTTTCATCCTGTCTCTATTAATAGGTCTTACAGCAGGGGCCAGCTTTAATGTTCTGGCAGCTGTACATGCCCATGAAGCCTGGTGATTGCGTGAGCATGACAAGCACTACCATGTGCAGTGCTGTGAATACCTCTGGCAGGTCAGAAGGAAGTGACAATGTCACAGGGAATGCCTGGGCGCTGGTTAGCAAATTGGCAGAGAGGTGAGAAATCACTTTTCTCTGAACCGTTGGAAGATGATTATTACTAAGAAGCAGTCGCATAAGACTGATACATTTACACATGTTATTATTTCCCTATTGAGATTCTTCCACTTCCACTGTCGAACCTCTGTGACAAACTGTCAGGTTTTTGATAAGATTGCCCTTAGAAACTATTATATATCAAAGGTGAAGTATGCAAGAATTACAATAATAACAAATGACTACATAAAGTATAGACTCAATGGCTGAGACACTTCCCTCTGCCTGTGTTTTCTCATTTCCTTTTTATTTGCAACAGTTATTATAAAAAAAGACCTGTAAGTGGTATTAATGTTGAGGATTTTGTTAAGGCTCAGATGAGATTAAATTTGCAAGTAATATATTTATAAATAAAAATGGGTTTATGATTTAAAGTGAGCATTATTAAGAAGAAAATTTCACTATTCTTCGGAGGGTTAACAGATCCGCAGAAGGCCAGCACACACTGACCGAGAGGTGGTTTTACCAGGGTGCATATCTTAGAACCAATGGAACACGCTGGTCTCCACAGATAAATGTTATTTCTTTAACAAACTAGAGGGCCTTTAACAAAGATATTTAACCTCAGTGAACTTCTACAGGCAGAAAATCAGAAGGGCTGTAGTTGCAAATATCTGATCTAATTACATCAACTTGGTTTTCCAGCTGCACATTGTGTAAGCCATCATCATCTTGTGCCTTAGCGTGAGCCTAAAGCGAGGACTTGTGGTTGACCTGGCGATGGTATGTTGAGACTTTTCGTCAATAAATAGCAAATAATGTAGCCATTCGGTGTTAAACCACAATCTGCTGACCAAACTCATGTCATGTAAACACCTTGGCCTCATCTTGTGGGTAACTTTACACCTCAGTCCAAGTTGGCTTGGGAGCAGCAGTCCAAACATTTGTTTGTCCATCTTTCAGGCAGGCCATTTTGAAATCTGACACATTTCCAAACTATAAGCCCACCTTGTGGATTCCTCATGTTCTCAAAACTATGCTACCTAGGAAGATATTGGTGTAGAGCTGCCAAGACAAACTGACAGCTCTTATAAAAATGTTTGGGGGGAAGATTGATGCCAACTAGGGCTGTGAGAAGAGAGTGAAACCACAGTGTGTATCTCAGGAGTCTGACAGTGATTAAGTGAAATATTCCTCTATGTTTTGATTCCATGGGGAGAGAAAATCATATTCAGACTTAAAAAGATGAAAAAAATGAAGGGCCAGACATAAACAAAGACAAAACAAAAATGTATGTTTCACACACCCACAGGCTTTTCATAAACACTAAGTTCAATTTTACAGGGTCTAAATGTTGAGGTAAAGCATGTCATGATAAAGGGATAGTACAGAAAAAGAAGTCAGCACATCCCCTTTTATTCCCAAATAAGAATTCCAACCAACCTGGATCACGACACTGTGATAATTGAAGTGCTTCACTGTATTTATAAGTGAGTGGAACATGCAATTTGTCAGGCAAAGTCTTTATCTCCACTCATAAAGAGGAAACAAATGAGTGATGGCGTTTATAGTTCTCTTTTTTTAACTCATACCTTGGCATAATCAGCACCATGTTTCTCCTTGTAACCATTGCGGCAGACGGTGTAATTATAGAAGCGGGAATTTTTGATCAATCCGACCCACTCACGCCACCCAGGTGGGATGTAGCTGCCATTATACTCATTGAGATACTTGCCGAAAAAAGCTGTAAAAGTGAAAAACAGAGAACGGAGACAATTGTTTAATGTGCATTGTACTCAGACACCTGGTACGGATTCTGTTTTGTTTGCTTATTCCTGTAAAAAAATCCTAATTCTTCAGGTCTGCGTGAATTTATCTTTTGTGCAAGCCAATGACGCACAACTTGTTGCCTGTCTTTTCCCCCTCTGGCTGCACTGCACAGAATTCTCGGATAGGCTGGGCAGGAAGCCAGTCTGTCCCAGAGAGAGCTAATTGCAGACTCACACATCAGTTTGAAAACTGCACGCCATTCTGCAACCAATTAGAACCCCACCTGCGCTGCACATCACTCACACAGACACTGATAAAAAACCACAAGTGAATGTTTCTGTATTTATCACAGCAGAGTAGTCCAATACCAATACAGTACCAATACAAAATATTTTTAAAAAGAGTGACAGATTCTCACCAGTGCAGGTGAAACATAATTACATTAACTTTCAGTTCTCTAGTAGAAAACAGGGGTTTGTTCAAACACCTTTTAATAAAAAATGAGAGTGTTTTAGTGCCAACCAGTGTTTTTGTTTTTTTTACTACATAGTATAGTATACATCAGACATCATATTAGCAGCTTACATTCAGAAAGAGAGTTTAGATTTTGGCACATAAATGTTAACCTACCTGTCCTGTAGCCGGTATTGTTGAGGTAGACAGCAAATGAGCGAGGCTCATGCTGAGCTTGCCAGGATGGAGAAGAGCAGTTCTCGTTGTTGGTGTATGTGTTGTGGTTGTGGACGTACTTGCCGGTCAACATGGAGGATCGTGACGGGCAACACATAGGGGTCGTGACAAAGGCGTTGGTGAAAGACGTGCCTCCGTCCTCCATGATTTTACGGGTTTTATTCATTACCTGCAAAGAACCTGGAAAATAATAATGCATTGCATGAAAAAAGTCTCTTTGCTTAGACCCTTTTTTTTAAAAATTAAAGAGTGGCAAAGTAATTATATTTTAGCAGTATACAGGCCAGATGGCTATTCGGTAGGAGCATAATGGTCCTATTTAATATTTCATGTACAGAGATGTGACGGAAACATGCCCAAAGACAATGACTAAAGTGTAGAGCAAAAAATATAAAATGTCATTGGAAGATTATAATTCTCAGTAAATGTATCAGCCTCACCTAATTCAACATCCTGGTCATCTGTCATAATGAGAATAATGTTGGGCCTAATGTTTCGTCGGTCTCTCTGGATGCGACCCCTCAGACTCTGAGCCTTGGTTGTGGTGAAGGCCCAGCTGCCTGGAGCCCAGTCCAGGGACAGCAGGGCCAGGTAGGCCAGCCACTGAATCAGCATGGTGCCAGAGATGACAAGAGACTGGATGGCAGGATTGAAGGATTAATGGAGAGATGAGGAGAGGCCAAGGAGGTCCAGCCAGGCCACTCACTCAAGTCTGGGTGGCACTTGTAGTCGTTGTTGACTAAGGAGACAATAGGAGAAAAGACATGGATACATTACAAAAGGAACAAGGAACGAAATAATAGTACAAACAGCAAGTTATTGGAGAGAAGCAGTTTTTCCCAGAAGAAAGAGGTCTTTCTAGTAACAGGTGTATTTACTCCACATAAATGAAGTGCATCTGGTCACAAATTATATTCAAACACAACAGCACATCCATAAACAGCAGAGCAAAAATGATTCTTTCGTGCTTCAGCCCTCGAGTTTACCCAGAAAATGTACCCAAAAGTCCAAAGCACATGTTGCGTGCTGACAGAAACCTCATCAGTACTCTCTCATAAAAACAAAATCACTCAACATCACTTCTCCTGACCTGAAATTAACAGACAACCAGTTCATGGCAACCCAGAAAACATTCCAAAACAACTACAGCAGCACTGAAGGTCTGGAGGGACAATTCTCACCTCAAAGATTTCTACTATGTCCTTTCTATGCTTTTTCAATCCCCTAGACAAAAAATCTCCATCTGACCTGCTGTTGTTTGACTCTGTGTCCTGAGATCTTGCCATTGGCTGACTGTTAAAGCCACTCTCTGGTATGGGCCAATCTCCATCAACCTTCCACCTGTCACTCAGAAGTCTCCCCCTGGTGAGTCAAGCATGACTGAGGGTCTGTGGGGGGGATGGAACACCACCGGGAGTGAGGAGTTAGGGGCCAGGAGAGGCGGAGAGAAGGTTCCGCTACATTAACCCTGGTGCCACTGTCGCCAATCATTTTTTAGCACTGAATCATCACGCTACATCCAGGCATCCTGTCCATGAGCAGCATACATTAGTGCTGCTGGTGAGTGTACAACCTTTGGTCATATAACATATTGCAAAAATCTGAAATTTTGCCAAACATTTTTAAACATTTCTGTACTGAAGACTGAATACTGAGGTAGGAACAAAGTGGGGCGCATTAAAATGGCTCGTGGCTACGTCACTGAGACATGGACTTGCGATCAGTAATCCATCACTGGCTGTAGAAAAAAGGTGCCTTCAGTCCCAGCAGTCCCACTGAGTGGCACCATACTGCTCTGTCTCTAGAGTTAATGGTCTGAAAGCAAATGGCAGGTCCATGACATCTGAGCCCGGTCAAACCTCAGTGAGTGCAAACCACCCCACCCTCATAATCTTTTTTTACACAAAGACCATCAAATAATTTAATTCTAAGCATAAATCACTCACTGATTTTTTTTTTAATTCAACTGATTTGCTTTCAATAACGTATTGAACAGTAACAGACAAGCCCTGACGTAATGTCTCAGTAATTAACTGTGATGTTTTTGTCTAAAGAACATGCACATGGAAAAAAAATATAAACAGCATTATGAAGTGTTAAACATCTACTGTTGCCTCATTGTCATACACACATACAAATGACTGAAATGATTTTCAGTCAAAGTGTCGGCAAACATCTTATGATTGTCATGGCTGTTAGTACAACTCGGCATTGCATGTATGTTCTTCCTCTGGTAAGATGTTTCCTGTGATAAGCAGAGTCTCAGCCAGAGCTCATTGGTTTGTCCTGTATTTCATATGGGCAGCATCCAGACCAGTCTAGTCATGACAGGCCAGTGCAAACATTGGCACTGTTTGGACAAACAGCCCTTCATCGTGGGGTGGTTGAGTGCACAGAACCTTACAGTGAAATAAATGCACTGCAAAAACTACTGTACAAACATAGGGTGAAAAACACAAGAAAAGATCATAAGACACAAACAGTCGCTCTTGGTCGAGAGCACATTCTCTACTGTCAAACAACAGATGCAACCAAAACACAAAGAGACTAGGCCCTCTATTTCTGTTGAGCAGTGGATGGTGTGAAATAACTGTAAGCCATTCATCCAGCTAGCGTAATGTTAGCACCCAGTCCAGATTTAATTTTACATGCCAATGGTTCCCAGTAATAGCCTGTTCATGCAGCTCAGAGAAGTGACAAAATATGTCCATTGTGGAATCTGATACTAACCTAGTGTTTGTGATACAATAAGCTACAGTGCCATCAATAGTCACAATGTCTGAAACGCCTAAGATTGCAATCCCAATAAAGTGCCACAAGTAGTGACCAGTAAGAGGAGGGCTAGAGTAAAGTAGGCAAAAAACAAAGCTGCTGCAACGGATGAAGACGAGACCTCCCTTTGTCCTTTAGGTTACCTCTCATCCTAACTTAATTTCTCTTGGTCCACTTTCCTCTGAGGTCATCTGAAGTTCACTTATAAGCAAAGGGATTTCTAGGAGCTCTGTGTCAGCCAGAGGTAGTCCTGGATCATTTCACAGCTTAGCTTTTTTTGAAGGAACATCAGAAACCTTTTTAAAATTAAGCAGTTCATGTAGATGACATTTAGATGACCTTACAATTTGTTTTGACATTTAGGAAGATGAGCTTCACAAGTTAACAGCAGGTATTTTTTAAGAGATCAGAGTGTAGAGATGCAGACTCCTATCTTAGAACAGACATGAACTGACTGACAAAAGTGCCAGATAGTAGGGACACTGCTAATAAATATTAGTTTGGAAGTACAGTGTCTCTCCAGTCAGCCAGCTGAAAGAATGCTGAGCAGGATTAACTGATGGAGATCTGTGTATTTAAACAGACACTCCTTTGAGCATTTTGTTTTGTACTCACACTTTAAGTGTCTTGCCTTGAGGCAGTCTTAAGAGTTAATGGAGGAGGCACTCAAGAAAGCCGATCTAAACATTGTTAAAGGTGTTGTTAAATAGTGTTAACACACACAACTGTACATGTGAATGTGTGATAGAATCTGAAAGTCACACACTTGGCTCCTGAATTCCTCTACTGTTTGTTGCTTCTGCCTCTCACTTGCATTCCATAGAATAAATATAACAAATTTCACGGGCCCCAGAGAGGTTTCTATGAGAAAAATGCTTTGTGTCACTTTCAAAATACACATCACTTTTGAATTACTGGTTTGTTTATTTATTTCCTCTGGTGTGATGTAAGTTGAACAAGTCTCTGCGGAGCACACATGAGGCCTTTATTCCTGGACAGAACCGAAGCACCAGAGAGCACATTGTTTCTCCTTCCTGATTGTTCTGTGGGATTAGCACTAATGACCCTTTAAATGAGCCTTTACTGTACTCATCGTGATTAAACTGGGGGAGGAATATAGGGGACGGATCAGGGGAATGCAAAATGCCGAAGAGTTCAAAGGACTGGAACAAAAAGGCCACTATGGAGTTTTCATTCAGAAACATAAAAGATGTGCAATTTTCAGATTATTGGACATCAACACTCAGGACTTTTAGCACACCTCAACGCCCTACTTATCTTTACTTTCATGATACTAGTGGGTTTTTCCTACTTTATAAATAGGCCTCTTTCACTTACTTTGGCACTGGCGGCACTGCTCAGTGATCGGGTATGGCTGCAGAGACAGCTGCGCTCTGCTTTGTGCACGGAGCACGGCTGAACATAAGCTTGTTGCCTGTGTAACCATTCAGTAGAGCCCTAGGCCGGCTGGCAGTTGTGCCCTCCTGTTAGGGCCTCAAACCACACACCCTGCTGCACCCTGACCTTCCTCTGACCCAAGTGGTAATATGGCTTTGATGGTGGCTTGTTTAACCTAACCTCAGCAATCTAAGGCTACCCACACACCCGGGATGGGGGGTGGGAGGGGAGAAAAAAATGTTTAAGAAGTGATTCAACAATTATACAATTATATTCAACAGCTGACCCTCAACTGGGGGGAGATAGGGATTTATGCTAGTGAACAAACAAACTCTGGTGTGGTGCAAACAAATATGGAAACAAGGCACAGGCGATAAGGTCAAGAACCAGTGTTTGTTTGTGCTTCACATCAGTGACATTTTTCAATGTAGGTTTACCTTTCTACGCCATTGAAGGGAAACAAATTATGATTAGAATTTATATTAATAGTGTGGTTTATTTAAATGTTTTCTGTCATTACAAGGAATGCAGCTAGTCTGCTGCCATGAGAACTACTGAGTGCCTTCCACACTGAGAAGGGCCTGTGTCTGGGCCTGCAAGCCAAAGGGGGCACATTGTAACAACCAGGACCCTCTCTAGTCGACCACACTGGTCTCCCTGAAGGAGAGCTCTGTCCTGTTTCACTAAGTTGGCATTACTGGCTCACTGGGAACTGATTCAAAACCTCCATGTTTTCATACCATTAACTTTTCTGATTTTTTAATTTGTTTTTGTTTTGTTTTTTTTTTAACCAAGAAGCCCAACTTGGTAAAACTTCTATGACAAATTACTGAAGATCTTTTTTATTTATTTATTATTTTTTTGTGTCACTTTTTTGTTTCAAACTGTTCTGATGTTTCAACTAAAAATGAATCCCATTCATTGGAATGCAGTGAACTTGGGGAAGGACTCTGGCCACTTTAATTAGGAAGAATGGCCCCAATTCAGTGAAATGTGAACCTAGAGTGGATGCATTCATGGCTATTAGTCAAAGCCCTCATGTTCTCTCGGACCTGGTAAGAGGCCCTTTGTAGTGTCACGGCTACCAGACCACCTCATCAATATTATGAACCCATCGTAATCTGCAATTAAATAAATCTTGGTCGAAATGCATTTATATGTATAGTTTATGTAAAGATAATTAAGTAGGTTTAAAAGTGGTTTGAAGGGTGTGTGTGTGTGTGGGGGGGGGGATTCTGCTGAAATTTAAATTTCTGGGTGTTACATCAATACATGAATCAAAGATTCATTTACGTATGACCAGACAGTATTGCAACCACTTCTTTTCTGACTCACAAATGGAAACCATTAGTGATAGATACTTGTGCACCACATTCATATTCCTTCTTACGTGTCAAAACCCACACTCACATCAGAAGCAGTAGATCAGACTGCGAGAGAAAGTCCAGACAGAGTTGGAGCACGAGGGAGCAGAATGTATGGCTTGCTCACGGGTGGCTTTCTTGTCTCATTGACGCGTCAAATGTAACCCAGATAAATCATTCCTTTTACCACAAAAGAGAGCCATGG